CTTCCTCTATTCTTACGCCAACCTCGCATCATTCCCCATTCATGAACAAATCCAGCATGTCCTAAGAGTGGCTTTATCTGCGACACGCACGTCCCCATCGCCTTCACCCCTCCAACGCAGTCCAACGATTTGAACGATAGACGACGACCGAAGCGACCGCCCCGACGAGCATCAATAAGACGGCCAAGTCGAGCCAACCCAAAGTCTTCTTCCCGGCCAATCCCGTGTATATTACTTGGACATCCAACCCCCTAGTGCCATGAATGGCATCGTGGGGACAACGCCTCCCGGCGCTATGTACGTCCGCGCACTGTACGACTATGAAGCCGATGACAGAACCAGCCTGAGCTTCCATGAAGGAGATGTGATCCAAGTCATCACGCAGCTCGAGAGCGGATGGTGGGACGGTGTCATAAATGGCGTTCGTGGGTGGTTTCCAAGTAACTACTGTCAAATCATCACGAGCCCTGATGATCTCCCCGACCTGACTCAGAATGGCCGCCTCGAGCATCTGGAGGAGGAGGCGGAAACCGATATGTACGACGATGCCCTGGACCAGGACGATGCGGTGGAGCGAGATGGTCCCAACGGCGTACCTCTAGATAGCCTCGACACCGGCGGTCGATCCAGGGCGGACTTCTGGATCCCCCAGGCCACACCGGACGGCCGACTCTTCTACTACAATATGATGACTGGCGATCGCAGCATGGAGCTTCCTCTTGAGTCTCCAGTATCAAATAATGAGACAGGGCCGCGGGACCGTATGAATGTCACCGTACCTGAAAGGACTCGGCCGCCTCCGGAGATGATGGCTAGGGGTTTGACTCAAGATGAGGACTACGATTCGGCTGCCTCAGCATCGGAGACCGAGGGTGGCGTTAATGGGATTAGATCCCGCCTTCACAGAGTATGTATAAAGCGTGTCTATATTCGTGTGCTTCTTTGCTGAAACAGTAACAGGGACAGAGGCGAACCTCGCTAAGTGGCGCGCTGTCCCCCTCTGCATCGATGGATTCCATCAACGGTCCCTCCACAGATGGCAATCGGCGAAATGATGCATTGCAGGTGGGACAGACACCCAACATTGCATCCGCAACTTCCTTCACAAGCACGACTTACAACTTACCAACAACAACTGCTGTCCCTAAATCATTTTTCGATGATGGATCAACGCCACCCCTCACCTGGAGTCTCCTTGTGGCCAACATGAGGGCTTCAATAGATCGGTACCGTGAGGCAATCACCAATAACGAACGTTCAAATTACGTCGCAAGAGCAGAAGACATATCGGACCACTTGAGGCTTCTCCTGGCTGCAGGCTCAGGCACCACCGACAATCATTCTGGCCAACCATCTATCATATCTACGAACAAAGCCCTATATCCTCATTTCAGAGACATGATGTCTAAATTTTCCAAGCTTGTTATCTCTTCCCATATTGCCGCCGCAGACTGGCCCAACGCAGAGTCTATACAAAAATGCTTGCAGGAAGCCGAGGGCGTCCTCCTAGGCGTGTATAGTTACGTTGAGGTTGCAAAGCAACAGCGAGGCGAGGAAATACCGCGTCTATTCCCTGGATTCGTCATTGGCAGTACTGCCGGAGGTAGTTGGCAAAACAACGGACTTGGGCCTCAGGATCCCATTACCGCCAACTTTCTGGAAGATGACGACGGTTTTACCGAACCAACGGCTATATTGGACAGCAAGCTTCTCGAAAGACTAGATGAGCAGAAGCGGATGCTGGTCTCCAGTATTCGTGAACTGGACAAGAACCTCGTTATTCCTGAGAAAATAGTGAGCGCCACGCGTCATGAATTTATTGGAAATAGTGTTTGCTTCTGCGGTGGCAAAGTAGTGGAGGCTTTCAAGCCTTGGATCGCTATTATTGAAACTATAGACCTTTCATCCCTGGGCAATAGTTTCCAGACCCCTCAGCTGGCTGATTTCAGCACCAATAAACAAAGTCTATACGATAATATCGCAGATCTTGTTCTCAGCTGCCAGGCGGTCGCCGGACCCTTGGCTGACGAGTGGTCGGAGATTAAGGGGGAATCTCTAGAGAAAAGATTGGAATATGTTCGGCAGTGTGCTCGGGCCCTGGAAACCAACTCGTCTCATGTGGGCTTCTCTTTGCAATTACTCTCAGAGCAGGTACAGAATGATTTGCAAAACAAGCACGATCCTCGGCCATGGGAAGATCATCCCCGCGCCCACTTACAAAGAGGCGACACAATGCCACCCGAGCGATCTCACCAACGATCAAACTCGCGCTCGGCGGGCCCACGACCTCCACTCATGACAGCTCAGTCCTTTACAGAGGGTGACGCCCCTCCAGGAAATTGGAGGAAAGGAGACTATTCCAAGGTCGCGAAGATTCTCGGTGAGGATCCATCCCCACAGGCTGGCATGCCTTCAGCTGAAGAGATTCCGGATTTCCTACGCTTGGATTACGAACACGAGGTTTCATGGGAAACCAAAACATCTTCTGCCACAGTTAAAGGAGGTTCCCTCCTTGGTCTTGTGGAGCAGCTCACTCGTCACGACAAGCTGGATTCGAGCTTCAACAACACTTTCCTTCTGACATACCGCTCTTTCACGACTGCTCGCGAGCTATTTGAATTGTTAGTGAAACGTTTTGGAATCCAACCTCCGCCTGGCTTAAGCCAGTCTGACTTCGATTTGTGGAGAGATCGGAAACAAAAACTGATTCGCTTTCGGGTTGTAAATATTCTCAAGAGTTGGTTTGACAATTTCTGGATGGAGGAGTTCAACGAGGAGTCGAAACAGCTTATCCGGGACGTAAGCAGCTTCGCCAGCGACACTGTGAAGTCAACCGAAACCCCAGGGTCTGCACCACTTATTGCGGTTCTTACTCAACGACTCAGTGGCAAGGAGCCAATACAACGGAAGGGTATGATCCAGACGTTGAATCAAAACACGCCGACACCTATCATACCCAAAAATATGAAAAAACTCAAGTTCCTCGATATTGATGTAACTGAGTTTGCTCGTCAGTTGACCATCATTGAATCTAGGCTATATGGCAAGATCAAGCCAGCAGAATGCCTCAACAAAACGTGGCAGAAGAAGGTTCCAGAGGGTGAACCTGACCTTGCCCCTAACGTCAAGGCACTCATTCTACACTCAAATCAAATGACGAATTGGGTTGCAGAAATGATATTGGCTCAAATGGACGCCCGAAAGCGTGTGGTTGTGATCAAGCATTTTGTCTCTGTTGCTGATGTGAGTTTGATATTGAAAAATGTGTGCTCGTGAATTCCGCTAATACGATGTTTAGAAATGCCGGGGTATGAACAACTTCTCAACCCTCACATCAATTATCTCTGCACTGGGCACAGCGCCAATTTCGCGCCTTAAAAGAACCTGGGATCAAGTTCCCCAGCGTACACAGGCTATCTTGGAAAACATGCGCAGAGTGATGGGTAGTACGAAGAATTTTGGAGAGTACAGAGAACAGCTCCACAATGCAAATCCTCCATGCGTGCCCTTCTTCGGTAGGAATTCGACCCTTCTTATTGGGATGTTGCTTCTTGCTAATCAATCCTAGGTGTCTACTTAACGGATCTTACATTTATTGAGGACGGTATTCCTTCAATCATCAAAAAGACGAACTTGATCAACTTTGCCAAGCGGGCCAAGACAGCGGAAGTGATTCGCGACATTCAACAGTACCAGAATGTAGGGTACTCACTCCAGCCAGTTCCCGAGCTACAGGACTATATTTTGAGCAACATGCAAGCTGCTGGAGATGTGCATGAGATGTACGACAAGAGTTTGCAGGTGGAACCACGTGAACGAGAGGATGAGAAGATTGTCAGGTACGAAACTATCCGCCCACCCCATCCCATTGCATTTCCTTTAGGCCCTCTATTAGGTCCTCAAAACCGCCTATGGTTTGACCATATTTTCTTGCGATTTAAAAAGCAAATACTAATCATATTCTTTGTTGTATAGAGTCTTGGCTGAATCAGGGTTCCTGTAAACTGGCATTGACAATTGCCAACAAAGTAAACATCTTTTTGATACACAATTACGCGGTGTGTATTGAGTATTCCTCCAATAGCTCTCGGCATTCGAAGCTGTGTTGTATTATTCACCCGAAATCGTTGCTGGTGGTGGGCACCCATGGAATGAAATTTCTTTCTGGGCCCTGCGTTTGGATTTCCAGAGCAACACAAATACCTTTGTGTACGTGAACGCAATATTTTTATGCAAATTCGCATCCTACGGAGTTCGTATGTCGAAACATCGGCAACATCGTCATCAATTTCTTTTTGGATATTGTTCTTCTTTTCATGGGAAGAGAAGATTCAGCGGATGAGTCTGGGCTCATTCAACGAGGGACTATATATACCTTATATTAAACAATATAAAGCAAGGGAAGCCTAACCCAAGAATTGGATGGTGGTATAATACATTGGGCACAGCTTATACATACCCTTGAAAAAAGCACTCAACACCCTCTGCTTCAAGCTCAATAGGAACATTTGGAGGAGTCGGGTCTTCTTATAAGGCTTCACGAATAGTACATCTCGAGGCCGGTATGGGCAGGTACATTTAATTATCTAGGCTCTAGTGGGAGTCCACAATAGTACTATGATGATTCACCAAAGGGGGGGGGGGGGAGGTTTTGGAGCTTGTTTGTATTTAGGCCGCATACTGGAGGCTTTAGTTACGATCAATGAGTAAACGGACGTATGTCACGGATTTATGGCAATTCGAGGCTCGTATTGTGTTAAATGTGCCATGTTCACTGCATGGAGACATCAATCACAATACCAGTTTTAGTTAATCAGAACGGAGTTTATTCATCCTGCTGCCTGGGAGACGGGGGAGAGTTCGTCTCTGGAACCATACCAATTACAACTCCATAGTTCTTGTTACAAAATGATGTTCGCCCATGACCCTAATTTTACAATCTGCTCTTCCGGCGCTAACCTACAACTTGATTAAATCATCGTTCTCAAATGCCAATATCCTCAATGCTTGTGAAGTTTCGCCTTGATTCGCTCGCCTAGGCTGGGTTTACTCTTTGACGAATGCTTCTCAGGGTGGTCGGAGTCGCTGTGGGCAGCGCCGCCCTTTCCGAGCAGGCCTATCAAAAACATTCAGTAATCCGGTCTTTGGTCCAAGTGAATCAGTAGATAGGTGAAGCATCCCCGGCAGAGCGAAGATTGATTTTTTTACTTACGGTCAGCCTCCTTGCCAGCACCAGGCTTGGTGGCATCAAAATCCCCCCCCTCGGCGGCGAAGCCGGTGCTCTTAACATATTCCTGGGCAGGAGCTTTACTTCCAGCATCAGAGGTCTCGTCGGGAGTTACCTTGGCTGCTTCGTCGGTCTTTGCCTTGGATTGTTGATCATCAATGCGACCAGCATCACCGTTGTGTTCTTTAGCTAGTACAGGTAGTGGTCTGGGGCCCGGACCTGTTGGAGATGGGGGGTCGGATTCGTCTGGGTTATTATCGGATTCGGGGGTCTTCTCAATTGCCTCCTTTCCCTTGGTGGTCTTTTCGATTGGCTCTTTTCTCTCGGTAGTCTTTCCATCTGCCTCCTGCCCCTCAAGGGGACCGCCACTCGAAGGGTGAGTTGTGACCGCAGCTGTTTCACTGGGCTTAAGATCACTCTCTCCGAGCTCCAGACGCTTTTCCACCTGTTGCTGGCCGGGCGTCTCTGATCAAACAAGTATATGAGCGAGTGAAGCTTCAATGGTTGGGGTTTGTTTGCCTACCTAGGTTGCCGGCGTCATAGGGTTCGCCTTGAGTAACATCTCCTTTTGCGCCAGAAATGGGTTCTTTACTAGTATTGCCTTCACCCAGAATTACCTTTGCAGCAGCCGAGGCTACGTTGTTGATGGTCTCCATGATGATTATATTATAAAAATGATGCACGGGTTGTACAGATGTTCGTTGTATATAGGCCGGGATAACGGAGTTCAAAATTGTTTGGGGCAGTTATAAGGAGAAGAATGGTCGTAAGCGTGTGTCTGCTTGACTTCAACGATCACGAAGTGCAACGGCCTATATAAATCTTATTTGGAGTGAGGGCACGCAGGAACTACGAGTGGCGATGACCTAGACAAAGCATGACGGGCAAGGGTGTTGACGTCGTTGGTGCATAGTATGTGTAATAGCTAGCCACGAGAGCGACGTGCTTAACGGGATGGGTGGAGCTACGGCCCTACGAGCAACCAACTTCTTGGACATCAAATTGTCCTAGAGACGTGTGTTGGTTCCCATTATGGCAAAGAGCAGAACCTTGAACATCGCAGGTTGCCGAAATGCACGGGCTAGGCGGGATGCTAGGCATGTTGGGCTGGGGGATGACGTCCATGAACAAGATCGCTCCCCGATATAGCTACAACAGTAGATAAATAAAGGATTCTTACTTGCCTTCATAGAGACAAGGGCATACGTATGCCTGGTGCAAGCTTGGTGGACGCAGAGATGGCAGTTTATCCAGGGCGGCCGTCCGGGATCGTCGCAGGCTTGACGTCATCCAAACTAGCCCATCGTCACAAAAATCCCATTCGCTATTTGTGATGATGCGTAACCTCCTATTATTCCACATGTGACCTAGAAGATGTACGCCCTCGCTTACAATGAATCAAGACATTGCGGTAAGGATTAAGTTGACTTGATGGCGCACCTATTTTAAAGAGAGCAAGATTGAGAGCAAGACCCAGTTGTTATAGAGGAAAGAACATGGAAAGAGCTAAGCGCCAATAGCTAAGCTACTCCGAATTCCAGAGGCATGCTATTTACTGCATATTCCCATACCTTTAGCATACATCATGAAAAGGTATATCCCAGGCAAACCAGCAACGGATTGACAATCGCACTATGACTTATGGTTGTATGGCCGGCAGAGTGGAATAGGGTAGACGTAAGAGACGGGCCATTCAAGTGGGTGGCACAGAGCCTTGGATTTCTAAGTCATGGGCGGCGCACCAAAATAGTTTGATTTACTGTAAAGTAACGAGTCATATGTTGCGCTCTGTTCCTTTCATTTGTCTTCGCATGTGTTGATCCGTGTCGGAATATTATGCAGATGAGAGAGATTTGGCGTGTCATGCACCATGTTACGAGGTTGGCCCGCCTCGTGTTGCAGAGGCTTCAATTCGAGCTTGGGGAAGGAGTGGCGCTGGTTTTAGCAAGGAAGAGCCTGCCCACAGCAACGACAATTTCAAGCGAGTGGGTATCACCAAATATATGGACTCGTATGGTCGCCGCTAGTGGCCGACCAGTACCAATAGCTGGTTCCAGGCAATTTCAATCTAGTGCTGTGCTACCTGCGTGTACGAGATGAGGTAGCCGCAAGCCTCCAGCAATCTATCTATCCAGTTCTGGGATAAAAGCAAACGCCGGTCCAGGAGCTTTACAATAGTACTTACCTAACCTATACCCGGGCATGCAAGGTACCGGCGGGTTGACGGGTAGTAGCAATGGATCTAAGAATAGGGGCTGTCTACCTTGTTGAGCAGTTGTCCACTCATTGCACGCTCATTTGAAGCCTGAAATTATAAATCCCTCCCGCCAGTGCCCAAGCGAGCACCTGTAAGCTTGGCCTGCAACGACTGGAGAAGGTCGGAGGGATGACTGTGTATACTTCGATTTCGCGCATGATGTACCTCGGCTGCGAATTTAATTCTGGTCCTGCAGAGCGATAGCTTGGCAAGGATTCGTATTCTAATTATCGCGACTCTGGAAGCAAGACTGCCAATAACGGATGGTTTGGACGGATGCCAGGGGAGAGATATATATTTATTAATCAGAGGCTCTAATATACATAGACTGCTGGGTTAGTACCCAAAGGTACCTGTTCACCACCGCTAGATGAATAAGCCCCCAAGTATTTACAGTGTACCATGCACTTGTTCTGCCGGGTGCTGCCACTGGACCACTAAGCTCGCGCCGCCTACGCGGACTGACACCTTGCGTCCACTCCTCCACCCCAATTCATCATCGCAGGCTTCCCCCGAAGTCGTCGAACTAGACAAAGCCGATCCAGGCTTGCCCGACCGACAACAGCAGCACCATCATGAACGGGGACCTGAGCCTCTCTCAGGCCCTGGGTGGGCTTCGTATAGCCAACCCTGATGATGTCGCCGCACAGCCATCACCTCTCCCCTCGGACTTGGATACGAGTCAGCCCACAGCCGCAGCCCCTGCAACTACATCAAGACCTCCTCCAACGACCGAGCCAGTAGCCTTGACGACGACGACGACGACAGCAGCAGCAACAAGCACGGCTACGACGGATCCCAATGATAGGGACTCCGCAGCAAGGCCAGCGCAACATGAGGAGCCCGGCTCCTTCGCCCTATCTTCTGAACCTCCTTCACTTCCCGATTTCTCAAGGTCATCAACCTATGATCTGTCACCGATGATTGAATCTGCCACCACAGTCTCAACAGCCGCATCTACAACTTCGTCGTACCCTTCTCGCGAACCCAGTCAAAGGGACTCCCAGTGGTCTTATAACTCCTCGAGACAAGCTCCCGTATCTTCAAGCAATCCACCGGCAAGGAGAAGTTCACGGGCAATGGGCGGTGGTCACACTCAAAGCCAAACGGGCGCCCACGCTCCCTATGCGGGAGATGCACCGATCCCCTCGACTAGTGAAGAGTGGCAGGAACGGGGTGCTGCCGTGGGAGTTCGCCGAGAAACGGACGCATCCGGTCGCACTGTCGTCAGACAAGTAAAAAAAGGTGTTCGCGATTTCTCCTTCGGCCGTATTCTGGGCGAGGGATCCTATAGTTCAGTCTACCTAGCCACGGATAGGCAGACACTCAAGGAATACGCCATCAAAGTACTTGAGAAACGACACATTATTAAGGAGAAAAAGATCAAGTACGTCAATATCGAAAAGGATACACTTAATCGTTTGACGGAGCACCCCGGCATTGTTCGACTCTACTATACGTTCCAAGACCAGAATTCTCTTTACTATGTTTTGGATCTTTGCAGTGGTGGTGAGCTTCTTGGTGTTTTGAAGAAGACGGGCACCTTTGATGTCGAGTGCACACGGTTCTATAGCGCCCAGATCCTTGATGCCATAAGCTACATGCACTCCCGCGGTGTCATTCATCGAGATCTCAAACCAGAGAACGTGCTTCTGGATGACCAGATGCACGTCAAAATTACCGATTTCGGGACCGCAAAGCTGCTTCAGGATCCTCGGGAAGCTAGAAGGCAGATGGAGCGGGGTATACTAGATCCCAGCAGGGGAGATGGGGATGACGATGGACGCGCAGCGTCTTTTGTCGGAACCGCTGAGTATGTGAGCCCGGAACTACTCACTCACAAGAATGCCTGCAAGGCTAGTGACTTGTGGGCTTTTGGGTGCATAGTATATCAACTTCTTGTTGGAAGGCCACCTTTCAAAGCAGGGAGTGAGTACTTGACGTTTCAGAAGATTGTACATCTCGAGTATGAGTTCCCTCAGGGATTTCCATTAGCGGCCCGTGATCTGGTCGAGCGATTACTGGTCTTGGACCCCTCCAGAAGATTGACCATTGAGCACATAAAAAATCACGAATTCTTTGACGGCCAAGCTTTCGGCAAAACATTATGGCGAACTAAAGCTCCCAGGCTCCGCCCATACGTTCCGACTGTACCAGAGCCCACCGTGATCCAGTTGAACGGAGGCCATTCTGCCGTCCCTCCACCCATCTCGCAGTCACGAAGCGCTCCCTCAAACCAAGCAAACCTAGCTAATGGGGCTGGCCGTCCTGCACGCTTGATTACAGAATTACCTCCCCCCACCCAGCTTGATATTGAATGGTCTCCAGTCCTAACAAAGAGCAATGAGCGTATATTGCGTTTGGGTGACTTATTAGTTGTCTCGACTCCATTACCAAATGGCTCGAACGGCAAGGGCTCCGAGGATGGGCACAAAAAGCTTTCTCGATTTTTCGGAGGCAGCACAACCAAGAAGCGGCAACGATTGGTCATGATCACCTCAAGTGGTAGAGTGTTGCTGGCACCTGCCGGAGGCGAGGAGAAGCGTGCGAAGCAAGAATTATCATTATTGGCCTCGGATTGCACGTGGAGAGTTCAAACAGACGCTAAGGGGCAGCTTGTCTGGTGCGTTGATACAGTATGTCTTGCAATATATGGTTACCCGGATATGAATGACGTGGACTGACAATGAACTAGGGCGGCTATCATTACACTTTTGAGGATACGAAGAATTCTTCTCAAATAGATACATCTCGCCCCTCGGCTGAAGAATGGGTTGAATGCCTAGAGCGAGCAAGAGATTTGGCTGTTGCTCAAAGTATGAATTCTTATGGCGAGGGTGGCTTGGCAGATCTATCTTCTACTATGTCGAGTCCCTCGAGCACAATCGGCGGAGGCCGAGCCAACAACTCACATGAAATGGTTGGGGCGACGGACCGATCTTCACGCAACCATCTGTCTAAGGGCCAAGGGAACATTGACGAAGTGAGCCCAGCTCCCAAAAGAAACCGTTTCAGCAAGAGGCAGTCCCGCAACGGACTCGATTCTGCCTTCTGAGTCTACCGGACGCATATCAATTCTACTACTAGCAAAATTGCTTCTAATCCGAGAAGTGCTAAAGGCATCGCCTCCATCCTAGATTTTATATTTCAAAGTTCGGTGCGTCATTTTGCATTAGTAGCGAGGCGCACTTCTGAGGAGTTTCAATTCTCTCATGGGACGCGGGGCCCGTTCCCTACTTGCATTTTCCCTTTATTATTCTGCATGTTCCAAGGATGGCATGACTACAAAAATACATTTCCTTTCTTAAAGGGGTGGAAGGCGATAGGTTGGGGGTTTGGGTGAAGAAAAGGGGCTTATCACCGCTTCAGTCGAGGGTCGGAGCGAGCGCTACTCTCTTC